CCGCCTTTGTGGAGGCTATGTCCCTCCTTTACTTAGTGCCACACACAATGGGGGGTATGCTCAATCAGTGTGCTTGATTGAACAGACTCTGAGTATCTCTAGACTAGGCATCCATGAGGCGCTGTGGGCTATTGTCAGCTGCAGAACTGTACTCCAATACAATCTCTTAACCTCAAACCTCAAAACCTGGCATATCCCCCATTCTACCATTGCTATAAGCCAGGGGATTGGTTTAATGAAGATTGCAGGAAGGGAAGCCAGGATAGCACCAGGCATACCCAAAATGAGGTTAAATGAAGCTACAAGACAGGACTAAAAAGCAATTCCATAACCAATGAATCCGATTTAATCTCTGTCATCCTGCTATGTCCTGGTTTGAACTGATGTGCCATTTGCATGATGACTTAGCTTTGTCAATGGCACATTACTAGATCTGTTTGAATATATCCCATTTAATGCAGTTATAATGATAGAAAATGTGAGGAAAGGGCGTTAAGAATATGGTAGTGGACTTTACCTCCAAATGGATTAGATGACAGTAATTTCCTGCCAATATTAACATGGTGCGATGCACCAACAACAGGTAGGTTAGTCAGTTGTTTTTTGTTTGGGGGTGTGGGCGTATCCTCTACTCCTGTTGCAGACCCACTCCGGAGGCTAGGTCTTTCAGGCCTTGGTCAGCTCAGTCAGCATTTGTAAGGTTGAGCCACTCTTGGTGATTGGGCTTTACTGTCTCCCATCCAGAAGACATTTTGTTACTGTTATTGGGCCTTCCCAATGATGTTCAACATGGTGGAGTACTGTTGTTTTAGTGTGAATTATAGAGTCATACAGCAAGGAAACAGGCCCTTGGCCCAACTTGTTCATGCTGACCAGGTTTCCTAAATAAAATTATTCCCATTTTGCCTGTATTTGGTCCATATCCCTCTAATCCTTTCCCATCCGTGTTCTTGTCCAAATGTCTCTCAAATGTTGTAATTGTACCCGTCTCTACCACATCCTCTGGCAGCTCATTCCATATCGACACCACTGTCTGTGTGAAAAAATTGTCCCTCGGGTCCCTTTTTAAATCTTTCCTCTCTCTCTCACCTTAAACCTATGCCCCCTAATTTTGGATTCCTGTACGCTAGGGAAAAGACCCTGGCTGTTCACCTTCTGTATGCCCCCAATGATTTTATAAACTGCAATAAGGTCACCCCTCAGCTTCCTTCTTCAAAGGAAACAGGTCCCAGCCTATCCAGCCTCTCCTTAAACTCCAAACCCTCAGTCTCGGCAACATACTTGTAATTTTTTTTTTTGTTTGTTTTTTGCACCCTTTCCAGTTTAATAACATCCTCCCTACAGCAGGCTGACCAGAATTGTACGCAGTACTCCAAATGTGGCCTTGCTGATGTCTTTTACAGGTGTAACATTTTGCCCCAACTCCTATACTCAATTCTCTGACTGAAGATAAGTGTACCAAATGCTGCCTTCACTGCCCTGTCTACCTGCGATGCCACATTCAAGGACCTACGTTCCTGCACCTCTAGGTCTCTCTGTTCAACAACACTCTGCTGGGTTCTACCATTAACTGTACAAATCCTACCCTGGCTTGTCTTGCTAAAATGCAACATCTCACGTGTTTATGAATTAAACTCCACCTGCCATTCCTCAGCCTACTGGCTCAGTTCATCAAGATCCCATTGTGTTCTTAGATAACCTTCTTAATTGTCCACTATACCAGCAACTTTGATGTCACCTGCAAACATACTAACTATGTCTTGTATGTTCTCATCCAAATCATTTCTGTAAATGATGAACAACAGTGGACTCAGCACCAATTCCATTGGTACACTGCTGGTAACACGTGTGCGTGTGTGTGTGGTCTGAACAATAACCCTTTACTATCACTGCCCTCTCTCCTACCATCCAGTCAATTTTTGTGTCCAATTGGCTAGCACTCCCTGAATTCCATATGACCTAACATTACTAACTAGTCTACCATGCACAACCTTGTCAAAGGCATTGCTAAAGTTTGAGTGAGGCTAGATGATGCTGAGCAGCAGTTTGGTTTCTTTGATCATGCTTGACCTGGGTTTTGTCCTGAGTTACCCAAATTGTAATGTTGGTAAGGTGTGTTTTTAACCTGTTTTGAACTGCTGGAATAGAATGTGATAGTAGCTGATGATTTCTGTTTTACAAACTGACATTTATTGAAATTCTAGTGCAAATGCAAATTGTGAAGAATCTTAGTGTAACATCTTGTAATCCTACAGGTTGTATTGAGCAGTTCCAAGCACCTTGATAAGTCCTATGCATACAAGTTTCTTCACCCCTGGCTTGGTACGGGACTATTGACAAGGTATTGTTCGTTCATTCATTCATGTGTAGACTTGTATCAGTGATCATATTAGAGTCGTTCTCTGCAGTGTTGTCATGGGTAATAAAGAGATCCTTGTTCTTTAGAATTCTTACAACAAAATTATCACACAAAAAGCAGCTATTTTTTGTATTAGCAACTCAACATTGCAGTTGTTAGCTGTCATCTTTTATGTATCTGTGTCCTGTGACACAATAGCATATTACTGCAGCAATAGTGCAGCATATTACTGAAATATATTTAAACTTTATTAATTGAGTAATCTGTGTTTTTGCTACCTACTCCTTGTTATCTCTCTTCTGTTTCAATCCCTCTGATAATCTTTGTATTATTGGGTAGAAGTCAAACAGGGGTCTTGTTGCCTAACATTTTTTTTGTTCCCAATGTCTCCTATTCAAGAATCAATTGAGTTTTGTTGACCTGCTGTGATGGTGTTTGTGAGGTGGGGAATTGCCCCTCAATTACTGCTCTGATACTTCACTGCAGAAGGTTCTGCTGCTGCCTGCATTTATTCTGGCATGTCTAGCATCCTTAATAAATGCCATTAATTATGGTCAGACCCTGTTAAATTTGGCCATTTGTAGTCGAAACTAGGTATCAGTTGTTATTTGGCAAAACATTACTATGCTTGGGATCTGACGTTCAGGGCACTATTTTTGCCACCATCAGGGAAGTAGGTACATCCATCCCACTGAACATGCCAATTATTGCACTCCATACTAAATAATTCCAAGATTTTTAATGGGTCTTTTTAACCAGCCTACTTAGAACAAACATTTATTTAAAGTGATTAAATGTATGGTTTTGCTCACAAAATAACTGTTCAAATTGCACTTATGCAAATTTCGAGGCAAGTATTCTATTTGACAATAATCATACTTGTATCTAGAAATATGGTCTGTTCCTTTCCACCTTGTTGTGGAACATGGGAACATTACAGGTGAGAATTTGAGTTGGTGTTATCTGAAGAGTTGAAATTGGCTCTAATGCAACAGCTGAGTCAGGAGCTGGAGAAAGTGAATTTAAATCTGATCTTGCATGGTCGAATCGTATTACTGACTTACTGTTTTGATTCCGTGGGAATTGGTAGTCTCAGTTATGCAACAGAAGAGTTTGGCTTGCCTACCTTCTCAAATGTTGTAGATACAGTCTAGAGTTTGAATTTGTAAAACAGCTGCTATCATTTCAGTTACCTGCTCCTCCTCTCTGATTATTGTTCTTCATAGCCAGTAATTAAATGAATATTGCATGGTTCACATTTTGCCCAAGGTGTCTTACCATGAAGTACAGGTAGTTTGGAATTGGAATTCATTAATAGGGTCACTCTTCAAGCATCAATGGAGTTCAGTGATCGAGAAACTTCATTTTTAGTATTTAAAAAAATCAATATTTGCTTACAATATCTGTCTGTTTGCACAAGTACAATTTAAGTGTCAGCAAAATTGTATTCATTTATTTGATTGGATATTTTAGATTGTATATAGTATACTGTCATAAATGAGTTTATTTCTGTGCTGTATGATTATGAACTAAATTGAGCTGAAAGTTCACCTTTTTTTATTGGCAGGCTACTTAATTAACATACCAAAGGTAATGCAGTGTGTGTCTTTCTCTGTTAATTGTCATGTTTGATAATAGCTTTCTCCACCTGAAGGCCTGTCATTTATGCTATAGTATGGGATTATTTTCCCCTTCAAGTTAGATTATTATTATGGATTTTTATTTATTCATGGGATGTGGATAACATTAACAAGGCCGGATTTTATAGCTCGTTTAGAATTGCTGTTAAGGAGGTAGTGAGTTACTGCCTTAACTTCTCTCTGAAGCTTCTCGGTTGTATTTAGGGTCAGCCACATTGTTGTTAGCCTGGAGTCAGATGTTGTGTAAGGATAATAGATTATCTTCCCAAAAATGAGTTAACCTCATGGTCAGCATTACTGACACTTTTTTTAAAACTATATTTATTTAATTGTATTTAAATTCTACAGCTCCGTGGTGAGATTTGAACTCTCCATATCATTACCTCAGACCCTTCTCGATGTCTGTCTGGATCAGCAGCTGTATTCCATTAAACCTCACTTAATTTGGTGTCATTATAGAAATGAGGCAGGTTTGGCAGCACAGTATGTACGTGTCCCTACCTCTGAACCAACCCCACCCAGGGCTTGATGGCCAAGGAGGAGTGCCAAATAAGTTGAGAATCAATCTGCAAATGCACCCAACATGTGCCAGTGACAGCCAGTAAGAGCTGGAAAGATTTCTAATCAGCCTTGTTGTTGAGAGGAAGTTTCAGCCTGTATAACGTACCCACCACAACGGGGTCTTCCTGAATAGTCTTTATCACGCCACACCAATAAAAAATGACTGGTTAAGTTTGGTATTGATATCAAAAACTTATCTCTGAGCATGCATGAAATAGTAGATTAATGTGGTGAGACAGCATATTGCAACACCATTTCTCTGATAAGACTAAAGAAAGTGTCACGAATTCCAACTAACGTGCATGTTGTTCAATACAACTGTTTTTTTTCCCTTCTTGAAAAGAAATGAATTGAAAAAAATTGAAACTGATTGAGTTTATATTTTCTTGAAAGGAGAATTAATAGGAGAACTTTGGGGAAAGAATAGGAGAGTGAAGAGAAACTTAACTGGATTAACCAGGCAAATACTATAACTGAAAGAGTTGGTCAGCGGCTTGGTATTTATTGGTGAGTTATGTACTAGACTTCCTAGAGCCATTTTGCCATCTACAGAGCACAAATTCAGGTGATTTGTCTGAATAAGTACACCATACTCAAAGCTCAAGAACTTGATTGGGATTTATCCACCATTTTACACGTTCGTGCCCTCCATCACTGCTTTGCAGTGGCAACAGTGTATCCCATTGACAAACTCTCTCAGCCTTCTTTGACAGTACCTTTTTAAAGCTACAATCTCTACTACCTAGATGACAAGGGCAGCAGAATTCCAAATTTTCCAAATTCCTCGCGGACTCTCATTCTATTCTGAATTGTAACTGTATTGGTGTTCTTTCATCATTTCTGTATTAGCATCATGGAACTCTGCCTCCCTAACCACATGTAGGGTACTTGAGAACTAGGAATAGGCCTTTCAGCTCCTCAAGCCTGCTCTGCCATTCAATAAAGTCATGGCTGATCTAAGCACATAAGGGAAGCTAAGGGCCGAGTGGTATAATGGCTAGACTGTTAATTAAGGTAGTGTTCTGGAGGCCCAGGTTCAAATCCTGTCATGCCAGAAGGTAGAATTTGAATTCAACTTGGCATGAAAGTATTGTCAATTGTTATGGAGGGAAAGAAAAGTCCTGGTTAACTAATGTCCTTTTAGGGAAGGAAACTGCAGTACTTATCTCACGTGGCCTACGTATGACTCCAGACCTGCAGTAATGTGATTGACTCTTAATTGCCCTCTGGCCGATTGGGGATGAACAGTAAATTCTGGCCTAGCCAGCGATGCCCACATCCCTGCAAGTGAATTTTAAAAAAAAAAAAAAAAAATTCTTGATCACTTTAAAGATTCTGCTTTAAATAATCACACTGGTCAATATAGGAGTTTGAGGTGCAGCAGATACTTGGAATTAATATTTTTAAATCACCGTTTATGATCTGAGAGTGGCATTGTCCCTTTACAGATGCTTTATTAAAATGCACTAAATTAGTGTCTTCAAAATGTAGAACTAATGTTCTCCTCTTTGTTTTGCTTTGCAGCACTGGAAATAAATGGCGTGCAAGGAGGAAGTTAATAACCCCGACATTTCACTTCACAATTCTGACAGAATTTCTGGAGGTTATGAACGAACAGACCAGTGTATTACTGGAAAAATGGGAGAAGAAAGTGGGAAAGGGACCTTTTAACTGCTTTACTGATGTCACTCTTTGTGCATTGGACATTATTTGTGGTGAGTTTGCATAAATTGTTAAAATGGAAGCATTTATTAAAAAGGGTCAGAATTAACAGCTTGGTGGAAGAGTATTCAGTCTATTTAGAAATAGCAAGAACTGCAGATGCTGGAATCAAAGTTGACACAGCAGGTCAGGTAGCATCAGAGGAACAGGAAAGTTGGCGTTTCAGATTTACACCCTTCCTTGGAACTGATAAAGGATCCTCAACAGAAACGTTGACTTTCCTGTTCCTCTGATGCTGCCTGACCTCCTGTGTTCCTCCTATTCAGTAAATTGTCTATGCTGCTGCTTTGCTAGAGTAATTTTAAAAATGATTCGTTTTTCCTCCATAGCAATGTATCCTGTTTCAAGTATCCATTTTGATTTTTCTTTTTTTTTTAAAAACGATGCAGTGGTCTCTGTCTCGAGCATTCTGCGTTACAATTGCCGTATCAAATGTTTCTTTTTCCTTTTCTCAACGCTTTAGCAATAACTTCAAATTGACGGTCACTGATGAATCCTATTGAGGGTTTTTTTTTTCCCTATTTTATCCTTTCAAAGTCCTTCAGGATTTTAAAATTCAGTGTCCTCATCAGCTTCTCTGTTCATTTAGAAATGTATTGTTGTGTCTCAATACCTACAACTTCCCTACCTTCACATCTTAGAATCATACAGTACAGAATATGCTCTTTGACTTATCAAGTCAGTACCACCAAAAATCTATTGCTACTTGCACTAGTCCCACTTCCACGCAGAAGCCTTGAATGTTCCGACACTTCAAGTGCTAATCCCAAGTACATTTTTAAAGGTTGAGGTTTCCTGCCCTCTCAGGCAATGCATTCTAATACCCAATGCCCCATCCCCCACCCTGAGTGAAAAAGGTTTTTCCTTAAATCTTCTCTAAAACTCTTGCCTTTCACTTTGAAATTATGCCCCTTTTTTATGGACCTTGAAAGACTTCATTTGATTTATTATTGTCACATGTACCGAAATACAGTGAAAGGTATTGTTTTGCAAACTATTTAGGCAGATCATACCAAACATTAGTGCATTCGGGCATTAGAGCAGAATACAGTGTTCCAGCTAGAGAGAAGGTGCAGAGAGAGATCAAATTTAATATTTGAGAGGTCAGTTCAAAAGTTTGATAGCAGCGGGGAAGAAGCTGTTCTTGAATCTGTCGGTATGAGTTTTCAAACTTCTGCCGGGTGGAAGAGACAATAAACTAGGGTGTTGGCTGCTTTCCTGAGGCTGTGGAAAATATAGAAAGAGTCCGTGGATGGGAGCTTGGTTTGCATGATGGACTAGACAGTTCATGACTGTCTGTAATTTCTTGTGGTCTTGGGCAGACCTGTTGCCTTCCCAAGCTGTGATGCATCCAGTTGGATGCTTTCTATGGTGCATCAATAAAAATTGGTAAGGGTCATTGTGGACATGCCGAATTTTCTCAGCCTTCCAAATTTTGAATAGTAAGGTAATACTCTCTGGACAACAACCTGAGTCACAGGCAAAATGGCATAGGGTAAATAAAGTCCAATGTGTGGATCTAAGATTGTGGATGGAAATAGGTTTCAGTTCATAAAGCACTGGAATCAGTGTTGGTTTGGAAGGGAGCTGTTCTGGAGCGATTGGCTTCATTTAAACTGTGCTGGGACCATTGTCCTGGTTAATTGAAGAGCAAGGGTAGCTTTAAGTTCATTGTGGGGAGGGGAGCTGTGGAGAGGAGAAATGTAGCAATACAAAGCAAGATGATTTGGTAGCAAAACAGGCCAGCTATTTGGATAATAATGCCCAGATAAAACATAAAGGGGCAGAGTATCTGAACATAGAAAGCTGAGTGTAAATAGGGTACAATTGGGGTGGGGGGGGTGGTGGTGATCAAATGGTAAACAGACAAAATTACCAATCTTTATTTGAATGTGTGTAGTATTCAAATCAAAATAAATGAATCAACAGCACAAATACATGTAAATGGGTATGATCTTACAGCCCTTATGGTGACATGGTTACAAGGATCAAAGCTAGGAATCAAATATTCAGGGGTATGTGACTTTTGAAAAGGACAGGCAGGGAGCGAAGTGTGGTGGGGCAGCTTTTTTGATACAGAATATGTATGATAATAAGAAAGGATCTTGGATCAAAAGATATAGTATCCACGTGGGTGGAAGTAAGAAATAACAAGGAGGAAGATGCTAAACAAAAAAAAAACTGCATGCTGGAAATCTGAAACAAAACCAGCAATAGCTGGAGAAATTCAGCAGATCTGGCAGCATGTATGAAAAGAAAGCTGAAAAAGATGCTAGTTGGAATAGTCTGTAGGCACCAACAATAGCTATTTGGTCGAACTAAGAATAAATCAGGAGATAGAGGCTGTATGACAAAAGTAGGACATTGATCATAAATGACATTAATCTTGTAGATTGGGATGATCAGATTAACAGAAGAAGCCATGATGAAGAATTCAGTGTGTTTTATTTTCTGTATTCATTAACGGGATGAGGACGTCGCTGGCCAGGCAGCATTTATTGTCCATCCCTAATTGGCCGGAGGGCAGTTCAGAGTCAACCACATTGCTGTGGGTCTAGAGTCACATGTAGGCCAGACCAGGTAAAGATGGCAGTTTCCTTCCCTAAGGGACATTAGTGTGTTCAGGATAGTTTCCTAGAACGATACATTGTGGATCCAATCAGGGATAAGGCTATCTGGTGATAGTAATGAGGAAGTTTTATCAAATGATATTTGAGTAAAAATCCCCTAGGGAACACTGAATTAACATGATAAAAGTTGGCATTCTGTTTGAGAGGAAGGAATTGGGTTAGAAATAGCTGTGCAAAGCTAGTGAGAGGGTAATTGCAAAACATGAGGGCAGAGCTGGCTGCATTGGACTGGAGAAGGAGTTTAGCAGCAAAGTCAATTGAGGGATGATGGCAGATATTTAAAAGTTCATGTCTCACAACAAAGATTAAATCCCAGTGAGAAAGAAGGATTCTAGGATTCAATTCTGTTAATTGACTACACGAGGCCCTGATTTGGGGGTGAGTTGAAGATTACTGATGGACCTTCTTGCCCAGCATTTAATTGCTTAGGTGTTTAAAAGGGATCAAGTGTTCCTCCATGGAAACTTGCCCAATAACTAATCCTTCTCGCCACCTCTAGGGAAGGGGTAAGCTCGTCCATTGTGTTAATACGTTCGGTTTAGTTTTGATGCTATTTGTTTTCTCAGTGCTCATAAATGTAAGCTTATTTGTATATTCCTAATGTTAAGGTTAATTGATTTGATCAGCACCAATATGTGACTTACCTTCTGGATTTTCCACTGTAGAAACTGCTATGGATAAGAAAGTCTATGCTCAGAATAACAGTGACTCGGAATATATTCGTGCAATTTACAAGTGAGTTCCTTGTGTTTCCTGAATGGTTTTCTGCATTTTTTAATGATGTTTCTGATATGAAGTAGAAGATGATCCTTTTGTGATACAATCCATTTGGGTGAATTGATGGTGACAGGATAATCCACAAATTCCTGTCATTAATGTTATTTACTAAACTTTTTAAAATCACTTTGAACTTAAGCTTTTGAAGAACATCATCTTTCCAAATTAAGTAACATTTTTATAGAAACAAGATTTCTCATACCAGGTTAAAAAGAAAGTGAAAAACAAGGTGTCAGGCAATGGTGATCAGTTGTATTTTAATTGTATCGATGGTGGTATTTGTTGCTAATTTTCCTTTCTATCTCCCACATCTTTTAGCTGTTAATAGGCCAGACTCTTTAGGAAAACAGATTTTTAACTCCCTCCACCAGATTATAGCTGTACCATAAGCATTTAAATTTTTTGGTGATTTGCCCATCAAATTGTTTGCCTCTTATCCACTGAGCTTGATTTTAAATTTTTGAAGGAGGCAAGGGCACCCTTCTTGATCCAGCAAGTTCATTCTTTAAAGATGTAGATTGGGACTCAATGATGTAAAAACAAACTAAGAGCTAACCTCTGAGTTTGCAAACTGGAATGAAAAATTGAACCATGCACAGTATCGAGGGAGAAGTCTCTGTCATCAAACAAGGCCTACATTGAGGAGAACAGAGTCCAAATGAATGCAGTGCAAAGTCCATACCTCCATCTGTCACTCCAACAGTGGCTTTGTGTGGCATTCGTAATCAATTATGCAAACTGAGACTTTGCCTCATGTAAGACATTAGGCCATGTTAAACTAGATTATAAAATGTCTTGTGTAGATATTGCAATTATTCTCCATTTCAGTTAGAGGGCAGGCTGCCTCCTTGGCAACTTGCTGTCTGTGATATGTTGTTAATTAGGCTATATCAGGATGTTGGCCCAGTATCTATTGAAGGTAATGCAATGTGTTGTGCTATGTGACTTGAAGAAATGATAGCATTCTCATGACTTTGCTACTTGTGCCCTCCTTGATGATGGAGGGTTTGAAGATGGGATTAAAGCAAGCATGGTAAATTGCTTTGGTGCATCCTGTTAGTGTATGCTATAGCCACGGTGCATCAATAATGAAGGGTGTGGCAAAAATCTTCTTTTGGGATTTGGGGGGAGGAGGTTGTTAATCAAACTGGCTGTTCTGTCTTAGATGCATTTTGATCACTTTTGTTAACTGTGAACACTGCAGCCATTCAGGTAGATTTTCCAAGAGAGAAATTTGCCCTTTTAAAGGGCAATGAAGCCTGGAGAAGACGGGTGAGCCGAACACTGACCCCTTGTCCCAGTGCTGTAGCCATGATGTTAATGATTTGGAGAGGCTTTTGCTCGGCACTAATGTTGCTTAATTGAAAATGTTTGTGTCAAAGATTAGCATTGTCCAGTGTAAATGCTGCCTATTGCTTCTCAGCCAAGCTTGAATGTTGTTCAGATCATGTGTTTTTTTAAGAAGAAGTCTCATTTCATGATGTGAAGAGAGGATTTTGAGTGAACTGTAATGAGGAAGATAATTTCTCTTTGCTTAGGATGAGTGATTTGATCCACCGCAGACAGAAAATGCCTTGGTTTTGGCCTGACTTCATGTTCAACACATTCGGTGATGGAAAGGAACATGATGAAGCCCTCAAAATTCTGCATGCCTTTACAGAGAAGGTAGACTGATGGTCAAGCTGTTTTGTTTCAAAAGAAAATATACAAAATGTTGAAAGCCAGCAAATGAAAGAGTATCTCTGGAGAGGGCAAAGGAAGCTACATATTGAATCTAAAAGCTGAAGTATATAACCGATAAGGGCAAGTTAAATATTGGTGGTCTGAAATATATTTCAGTTTTAAAAATGGGTTTGCTTTGCTCGAGTCCTAAAAGGCATTACTACTAGACTGGTCTGCAGCAGCTGGTGAAGGAACCAATGGGAGAGAAAAGCATACAAGCAGTCCTTGCTATCTGCTGGTTTTTGCTACCTGGGGATCCATGTACTTGTGAAGTCAGCCTTGACTTCATCTTTCCTTTTCTTTCCCCCATTGTCCTCAGTAAACCGATTGTGCAGTCCTTCACAGCAGTTAGGAGTGATACCTGCCTTTTTGTTTTATTACCTGCAGGAAGTCCGTGTCCCTATCTCTCTCACGTAATGACTGAATGTATTAGACACACCTCGCCCTCCCCAATCTACCTGCTGCAGATGGATCTATCTGTGACAGTAGCACTAGGAGCAACCACTGCACAGCCCTTGCAGACTTTGCATCCAGGATGTCCTTTGTCGTCTTCTGTGGTATGATACATGATGTGGAGGTGCTGGTGTTGGATTGGAGTGGACAAAGTCAGAAATCACATAACACCAGGTTTTAGCCCAACAGGTTTATTTGAAATCACAAGCTTTCAGAGCGAAGCCCCTTCGTCAGGTGAAGGGGCTACACTCCGAAAGCTTGTGATTTCAAATAATCCTGCTGGACTATAACCTGGTGTCGTGTGACTTCTGACTAAATGGGATAGATCTCAAACAGACCGTCTTCTCCATGCACGACTGGAAATTGCTGCTCAGACAAGCATTTAATGCCCATCCCCGATTTTCTCTTGAAGGTAATAGAGAGCCAGAAATGTTTGAGTTAGATGTTGCATGGAATAAATGTGACATCTCTAAGAAGTGAACAGCATACCAAGACAATATTGTGTGAACTATTCAAATTGCTATCCCATGGTGTTGCTGTTGATAACTGTCAAGTTTGACTAGACTGAAGTGTTTTTGTTTTCAATGAGTGGATTACTCTGACAGCAGTAGAAACTAGGCTCTGGATCTGTCAGTACGTGGATTGTTTGGTCCAGCATTTTCTTTGAGTGCCTGTTGGGCGTACCAGAACAGGAAGACAGTCAAAATGGCCAAGTATCTCCAGAGAGGAATCTGAGATTGCTGGCGAAGAGTGCTGGGATCTGCAGACTTAGTCAATAAATTACCTAAGTGTCTAATAGCTGCTAGCAGAGCAACAGATAAGTCCAAGCCCAGGGTTAAGACAAATACAGTTCTAATCTGTTCTAATCACTAGATAAGTCTCATTCTGAGAAAATCCATTTGATTTTTATTAGGTGATTATAGAGAGGTCTTGCAAAACGGAAACTTCTGAAGAATGTAGCAGTTCCAATCTGGATTTAGAGTCTGAATCACAGAGGAAAAAGAAGCGCAAAGCATTTCTTGACCTGATTCTCAGCGCAATGGATGAAGATGGAAAGAAACTGAGTCAACAGGACATTAGGGAAGAAGTGAACACATTCATGTTTGAGGTAAGATAATATTCGAAAGTAGTGCATAGCATTTTTCTATTTGTTGAATCAAAGGCTCAAATAATGATGTAAGGATTGAAATTATTGTTAGCGTGTGGATCATGAAAATATGTGGATGATATTCTTAATGGAGGAGTTAAACTAATTATGACAAATGCCTCTGTTGAAATAGTGAATTATGTCATATGTTTATCTGGCTTGCTTGGTGATTTCAGAGTTAAAAGTTAGGCACATTGCTGTGTATTTTGATGCGTGTGTAGGGCAGAACTAGGTAAGGATGTCCAATTTCCTTCCCTAAAATCCACCAGCTGTGTATTTTACATCAATCAACAATAGTTAGATGGTCATCTTTTAGACTGGCTTATAATTCTAGATTTTATTGACATTTCGCTGTCTCCTGTGGTGGGATTTTTAATCCACGTCCCAGAACATTAGTGTGGGATTCTGGATTACCAATATATCACCGCGTTTCATGTTTTTCTGTGACCTTGATTCTTTTAAAGAAACTGATTACAATACTTTGCCAAAATGCATTCAATAAGTAATAGATCAGTCCTAGTTGATCCATTGCTTCTTCTGAGCAGAAGACATACATTACTCTGGTAAATGTGGGCTTGAATGGGGGTGTTGAGCAGGCTCCTGGCTTGGCAGAACTGATTTGCATTAATTTCTATATTTCATCTTTAGGTGTGCGCATAGTCCTTGACTCATGGTTTTTTTTATTAGTTTGTTGTCAGAATTCAAAACACCTGTTATTCTCAAAAGAATTCTATTCCGGGTGAGGAAAGACCTGCTGTATCTCTGCCTCTACTTGTGTCTATTCCTTCATTCCTCCATTATGTCCCTTAAATGCCAGCAATTAGAATGTTTCCGATTTATTAATGATCAAAAGATGTAACTGATAATTGGAAGCTTTTTAAAAGCAGAACTTCAAATTAGAATGAGGACAAATATAGTCAAGATAAAATTGAGCTTCAGGGTTGTAAAACAAGCGGCAGTTGATCAGATATGCAGTAAATGTTCTGATTGGTTTCCTTTCCAAAAATCTTCAGCATCAATTGGTCACATCAAAGCAGTGGAACAAACTTGAATATCTGTTCTGAATCAAAACAGTTGCATTGTCCTTTTCCTATTGATAGTCTAAAAGATCATCTGTGAATAGCATTTAACAATTACTACAGAGTACTGTTGTAGTCATGTTCTAAATTAAATTAGAATGGTTACAGTTGGGATAAAAAAAATCCTCTGGATGTAATATTTTACACCAGAGGTTGCAATGTTACTGTAGTCTAGCCTGGTGTCTCTTAATTGTGTAAATATTTCTAGCTGCTAGTTATTTTGCTAATCATTCATTGCTTAAAATTCACTTATTTAAATAAATCACTGATCGTTTTTCTCTTTTGGAAGCTTTCATAATATTCTTAAAGTTATTTTCTTTATTTCTAATGAGACAAGTGAGAATTTGGCCCTTTATTACTCTAACTTCTAAAGTTTAAAGTAGATATCACATGGCTCGTAAGTGACTTGGTTTTACTTGTTTGGCAGGTTTAGACACCTTTTTAGATGGTGATAAAAGGCTCTCCCGATTTCTTTGTTGTATTAAGCTGGAGCATAATAAAGAATAAAAGACTTCCAGGAATCTGAATTAATATTATGCCCTAACCTGCCTTCTACTAATCTTTTGATTTGCTTTCAGTGTAAAGATTGACAGACTATTTGGGATTCAAAATTGCTTCTCGTGTACGTAGTGTCTCAACTCTAGGGGCCACCTTATGTCCTGAGTAAGAAGGATTAGAATGTGAATTATAATACAAAATGCTGGAAATATGTACCAGATCAAGTGACATCTTTTAGACAGAGAATTTTCAAGTTGATTACTTTTCATCAGAATCCAAAAATATATTTGAGAAAACTTTGATTTATTTAAATTCTAATTCAGAACAAACCATTCTATAATTTCACAAAAATGGAATGTTTTTGTATTTGTAGTTATAAAGAAATATGTTGTGGCTGTTGATATAATTATAGCAGCATTGATTAACACTGTGGTATAATGATAATGTCACTGGACTAGTCCTGAGTTTCAGGCTAATAATGTTCTGGGGTCATTGACTGATGGAATTTAAATTCAGTTAATAGAATTGGAATTAAAAGCTAGTCTTGGCAATGATGACCACAAAACTAGAACTGTTTTGAAAGTCCATCTGGTCCTTTCATCTTTTTAGGAAAGAAAATCAGCCATCCTTTCCTGATCTGGCCTACAGGTGACTCCAGACCCACATTAATGATGCTGATTCCCAACTACCTAATGAAATGGCCTAGTAAGCCACTTACTGCAAATCCCCAATTGACCTTGAATTAAGTGTTGAGACTTGCCAGCAATGCCCACATCCCATGAAAGAAATTTTCATTTCTGTAGCATTTTACAATATATGGTTAGGTGCACATACAGCATCTGGATTCTTCAAATGGATGTAGATTTGTGATTCTGAGATCCAGCTAGTTTTGAGTTAATTGCAAGTCTACGTATAAGAAAACTTGATTGTGAAAGAGTAGAGGGGACTGATTCACCACAGTACACCCATGTTCAGTATGACTGTACAAAAGCAAAAATTGCAGATGTTTGAAGTCTGAATAAGAATTCTCAGATTCGCAACGTTGCCAGACCTGCTGAGTTTCTCCAGTGTCCTGTTTTTATTCAGTATTATTGCATACTAACAGAGCGCTCCATTTAGTGGTTATTTATTGTGTGCTAACTTTGATCAGTGGTTTATTTTTCCCTTGGGAAATGTTGTTATATCCTTACTTGAGTGCAGGCAAATAAATATTTTTGAACCATGATTGAAACAGCAAATAATACAATGTATAATATAGTGCTCTCTAAATTATAGTGTAGGTACTGTAGCTTGGCAGTAAGATCTGTTCATTACATAAATAAGTTGCCAGCTGCACTAAAAGGCTTGCTATCTTATTCTGCTTCAAACCAATTGGAGGTGAAGGATGCCTTGGTATTAAAAAGACTGTAGATAAGTACTGTCCCTGCCATTGTGTATTTCTGTCATTCTCTTTCTAGCTTCTTTTGTTCCTTTCCTTACGTAAACATTTTTCTCTAACTTTTTATCTTTCATTTTCTTCTTTTTTAAGTGCCATCCTGGTTCTGATGCTGCTTTACGATGTGGATGAAATTGTTTTAACAAAGATTTTTCCATTGTCTTTTATAAACCAAAATCTATCTAGCTGTAACACTTCATAAGCGTTTTTTTTTGAAGTTTCAATTTATTCTGTAGATATGTTGTTCTTGATTTTAATAGTGTTTCCGTTTAGCTGTGGAAAAATGGGGAGGAGTACTTCTACCTTTGCTAATAAGGAAAGAATCCGTGTAGGGGCAAGTTGTTGTTTAAAGACTTAAAGGTTTTGGTTATATTTCTAAAGTAAGATCAATTAATATAAGAGGTCAGTTTAAGTATTGTCTCCAGTGTTCCTTCTCAACAATGGAAACAACTGTTTTCTGTTGGTCTGTTTGGATTATGGTGATAATACATTGGATTCAGCCAATTGAAAAATCAAGTGTAAAGATGTATAGATTTTTTAAAAATTGCTTTGACTTTGTCATCAGGGGCATGATACCACAGCGACTGCAATAAACTGGACCCTTTACCTCTTGGGAACCCATCCTGATACACAGAAGAAAGTTCATGAAGAGCTGGATGATATTTTTGGTAAAGTTATAAGCAATTCAGTTCCAACATTTACTTTTACTTTTGCAAAGGGCTGAAAAATAAAGTGTATCTTGGCATTGTAAACCTTTAAGATTTTGATACATTTGTAGTTGATGCCACATGATGACAAGTAATGACTGAGGGTGCTGTGTATAAGAAAAGCTTCAGGCCTAGTGATAGAGAGTCAGAGATGTACAACATTGAACCGGTCCAGCTTATCCATGCTGACCAGATATCCTAAATTTAATCTAGTCCCATTTGGCCCATATCCCTCAAACTCTTCCTATTCATGTACGAATCCAGATGCCTTTTAAATGTTGTAATTGTACCAGCCTTCACCACTTCCTCTGGCAGCTTGTTCCATACACGCGCACCACCCTCTGCGTGGAAAAAGTTGTCCCGTAGGTCCCTTTTAAATCTTTCCCCTTTTGGATTACCCTACTTTGGGGGAAAAGACCTTGATTATTCACCTTATCCATGCCCCTCGTGATTTTATAAATTTTTAAAAGGTCACCCTCAGTGTCCGACACTCCAGGGAAAATAGCCCCAGCCTCTCCCTATAACTCAAACTCTCCAACCCTGGCAACATCCTCGTAAATCTTTTCTGAATCCTTTCATTTATACAAACTGTTTTGCTGAAGATTTGTGCTCCAGAACTAGCTGTACAGCGAGGCAACCTGCTCCATTACAATCACAACACTGTCATTTGGTGAACAATGTAGAAAATTGCCCAGGTGTGTCTTTTTTACAAGGAGCAGGACAAATTTAATCTGGCCAATGATAGCCCCATCAGTTTATTTTCAATCCTCAGTAAAGTGATAAAGCTGCCAGGCTGGACTTAGTTTAAAAAAAATGCTTGTTCAGTGCTGAGATGGGTTTTTGCTACTTGTCTCATTTCAAACATGTATGAAAGAGCTGAATTCTTGACAGCTAGAGAGCTCCTGCGGTGGGTAGGTGTGAGGGGTGAGATGTGAGTCGCTCCTGAACCAGTTGAGGCCCTTAAATAATGAACCTCCTTTTTGGCCCCCTGTTCTTTGATGAAGCCTGCAGCCACCTCCCACAATAATGTCTGCAAGTCTGACCTTGGCAAGACCATGAACTTGCCTGTTTGGGACTGTCTGACTGCCTCTGCTTCCAACAGTAGTCACCACTCCCAGTGGCACTTTGGCTTGATTGAGTTGCATCATTGTGAGGTAGGACGTTACAGATCAAGCCAGTTCGAGGCCCAAAGGCCGTTGAGAGACTGCAGGGTCAGCTAGTCAAGGGTGAGCAGGCTCAGCCAGGAATTTTACATCAGGAACCCTATCATCTCTGTAAAAGAGAGAAAGCAAACTACAGTGGTGGTAGGAACTGCTGATGCTGGACAATCTGAGATAACAAGGTGTAGAGCTGGATGAACACAACAGGCCAAGCAGCATCAGAGGAGCAGGAAAGCTGACGTTTCGGGCCTAGACCCTTCTTCAGAAATGGGGGAGGGGAAGGGGTTTCTGAAATAAATAGGGAAAGAGGGGGAGGCGGATAGAAGATGGATAAAGGAGAAGATAGGTGGAGAGGAGACAGACAGGTCAAGGAGGCGGGGATGGAGCCAGTAAAGGTGAGTGTAGGTGGGCCATTAAGGGGGGATAGGTCGGTCCAGGGACAACGGACAAGTCAAGGGGGCGGGATGAGGCTAGTAGGTAGGAGATGGGGGTGGGGCTTGAGGTGGGAGGACAGGTTAGGGAGGCGGGGACAAGCTGGGCTGGTTTTGGGATGCGGTAGGGGGAGGGGAGATTTTGAAGCTTGTGAAGTCCACATTGATACCATT